TAATTACTTGCCTGGCACATGTTAGGCACCCAGTAAGTAGCAGCTATGAAATTTTGTGTAAGAATTTACCTTGGGTTGTTTTCATATAGTTGGTGGATCCTCAAACTGTGTTCAGTGGACCCCACCTTTCCAAGGTGCTGTGTTGTGCGCTGGAGGTGTGACGCTGAGACGTTCTCCGGACTGGGACTTGTGGAGTCGGCTGCCTTGCCTGTGGCTGACTTGGGCTGCGTCATTGAGAAAGTGAGGATATTAAATTGCGTGGCACAAAACCAATCATCTTTTTACCCACCTTGACTACGTGTCCTGAGATTTCCCCATTCTCAAGCTACTCACTCTCTGGACACTTGTTTACCAGAGAGCAAAGGCTCTCTCTGACGTTCAGGTCCTCTCTGTCCCTAAAATCTTACGTCCCAGAGTGGGCTCTTCTTTGAAACTCATGTTGTCTTCTTAGGTGTCCCTGCACAACTTTAAGGGCACACGGCAGTCAGGAGCACGTGGTGGCCTTGTGCACTTCCGTGCTGTCTTTGGGGCACAGGCATTGGTTCTGCCTCTCTTGGCACATGGAGGGAAGAGTCTGACTCCTCTCCCTCCTGAGCCGGCTGTGGCACGCACCCTCAGTGGGACAGAGCAGGGCCAGGACAGAGGCTTTGAGGGCAGCAGAAGGGGAAGCTGCAGAGATCGTGCGGGTTGGCCCAGCAGAGAGAGAGACCAGAATGCAGAGGAGGCTCCGAGCAAGTGGCTGTTCCTCTGGGCCAAGTGCATTATAGAATCGGCATGGAAGACAACAGCAGTTGACCAGAAGCCATTCGAAACCCACGTCCAGACATTAGACCTTGGTCGTCTCTGTTTATAGATTGATGTTTCTTCTTCTCTAGGGTTTATGAGGAGAATTGTTGAATAAGGCAAAATTACCTACCCTCAAAGATCCTCAGGGAAATGAGTTCCCTCGTGGAAGTCCCAACAATTTGATAAGACTAATGGAATGACTCTTTAAAAGTTTATATTTTTACAGATGTACAGGCATTTTATAAGAAGCTAAATCAAGCTGGAAAAGAAGAAGTTACCTCTCGTGTGTGTAAAACGTTAAAAAGCTGCTTTGTTCACTCTTCGGTGGTGAAAAGCAAACGCAACACAGACATAAGGCTATTTGAACTCTTTATTTGCCACATTTACAATATTAATAACAGCATTTCTAAAAGTTGTCACATCAAGTAAAAGATCTTCATTCCAGGCTGTCTTTGGGGGCCAAATTGAGACTGGATGCATGCATTTAATAAATTGTAGTCTCACGTAGTCATTTTTGTAAATAATTAGTTTCAGTGAAAGAATAAGTTAGCATATTGTATGCATCTAATGTTGCAAATGTACACACAGCAAACTTTGCTATTAATCAACAGTCAAGCACCGCAAGTGGGGTCTCATACATAATGAATTGTGCTTAAACCTCATGGGTTTCTTGATAGAAAAATAAAAGAAAACACAAGTGTAGTAAGCTTTTGAATAAAATTTAACTAGATTGCTCTGCATCCTGTAATTGTTTTGGAACCATTAGGGACCTGATCACTCATCTATAGTTTTGGGGTGTTTTTATCTTCATCTGTCAAATAGTAGAGACTTTTAATGATACGTTAAAGTGTTAAAATACAATTTTCCTTTTAATGATTTGAACATTTAGAGGAAAAAGTATTTACTTCTTAAGGTATTCCCATATGCCAAGTATACCATTTAGATTCTTTTTAAAATATGTTTTATTATTGCTGATGTATGTTTAAGAATCAGTTGTTTTTAAAAGGAAAAAAATATATAATTCTTATGGGGAGAAGTTGAAAATTTACATAAAACGTTTTCTGTATTTTTGGTGGGTGTTTTAAAATACTACAGTAAATTCCTTCTGTGGTTTTGTTGAGGTTCTGACATTAATTTGAACCCCAAATTTTGAGGGCTTAGGATACCATTAAAAATTGATATCCAATTTTAGCAACATACCTATGACCACCCGGAAAGTGAGTGGGCTGGAAGCCAGCTAAATTTTAAACTGCCTCTTCCTCCTCCTCATACCGTTGACCTTGGGCACGAACCATTTGGTGGCCTGTGATGGGATCGTAAACGTAGAATTCACTTTGGGCTGGGGTGGAGGGCACACAGGCAAGGAGTGGCATTTATGTCCGTCTTTGTTGGGAACCACGCAGTAGCGTTTGGGAAGGATTTGCTGATTTCTTGGCCAGAACTCCCCCAGCCCTCCGGCAGGGACCGGTCGAAACGCTGCCTGTTCACATCCGCCTAGGCTGGGAACGGGCTGCTTTGGCCACTCTCTGCCCTGTCTCATGCGATAGCCGTTTGTACAGAATGCATCTTTGAAAACAGGAATTAAAACCAAACACACGGAAGTCAGTAAACTCACCTGTTACCTATCGTGGGCCCTCTTGTCCCAGAGAGTTGAAAAAAAAAACCAATCATACCTATCATTTTTAGATAGACATTGCTGATTTCATATGTTTGTTTTTCCTTTCACAGTTGAACACGTGTTCTTAGGGTTGCATGAAACATGAGTGAGATAGCACACGAGTCCTTGAGAACAGCATGTGCTGAACAGTAAATGTCATCGCTGTCATTATTAGCAACAGTAGCTTCCCAGTGAGGCTCCGGTTTTGTCTGTGCATAAACCCCTGTTGCCGTGCCTTTGTTTTTCATCGTTGACGCCATTGCGTTGTTGAGATCACTGTTTCTTATTACTGGCATCAGCACTTAGATTTTTCCCATTTCTACTGTTTGTTAAAATAACTCTGGAACATCCAAACAATCGCACAAGCTTTGTGGAGCATACGTGGTGATACTGCCCAAAAGGTTGCTGGCCACCAGGCAGTGCCACGGAGCCACCGCTGCGGTTTGTTCGGGACACTGGGCCATTTGAAAGGTGGACGTGGAGAGTCACTGCCGACGGCCCGTGTGTTTTACCTGCCCCTTCCCCGCCTGCGCAGTTGGCTGTGAACTCCGGGGAGGGGAGCGCGCCGAGTCGGTCTGCTTGCCGCAAGTAAGCCACACGCGTGACGGGTCCTCGGTACATCCTTGCATGGAATCAAACCACTGCGTTTGCTAGGCATATGGAGTTGAAAGGCTTTATTCAGCCTCGCCTTCAAAAATGATCTTCATTGAGAGCAGGTAGCATAGTTTATTTCTTGTCTTCAATCCTATCCCTGGAAGAAAAACATCTAAGCTTTAGCAAGAAGTTATAATTGAATACAGGGCCAGTCCATCAAACATGAGAAACTTCTAGAGATCTTATAAATCGGACATAATTGTGCATTTACCAGCAATATTTAGCAAGAGCCTCCCCGTGATGTTTACAAGGTCCCCTCGTTACCTGGGAAGCCTGGTGCTCTCTCCTGAGATGCGAGGCCTCCCCTCCCCAGCACAGGGCGCCGGCGGCCAGAGGAGGCAGGTGTTGGCTGCCTCGGTCATCACTGCAGGGGCGTCTCGAGTGCTGTGTGTAGCAAGGCTCCGGGCTCTTCCTCCCACTGACAGTCGTACGAGCATCTGCGGGTTTCCCTGCGGCCCTCACAGCCCGTGGAAGGCAGCAGCCTGTGTTGGCTCCCTGCCAGGTGCTGGATGAACTCAGAGGAACACGTGTCCTTTGAACTCTTTTCTTGGGTGAACCTCCAGTGTCACCAGTTAAGGTTCCCAAACCTTATGAAGAAAATGTCATTTATGGAGGGAGAGAGACTGGACAAGTTCGGGGCCACGGGAGGGAGGAGGTTGTGCGGCACTCTCCACACAGAAGGCCCCAGGCTGTCCTGCTGGGTGGAGCCGCTGCTGACCAGGTGGGGTGATGCGTAAAGGACTCTCGGCCTAGCTTCTTAGGTCACGTGGGGTTTCAGCCAAATGCATGACATTTTAATGTCTCTGGGGACATTCAGATTCATTCAGAAACAGGTATTTGGTGATTCTTTACTACCAGTGAAGTCTTGAGGTTCCCGAAAATCTGAATACCCGTATCTCCCGGCAGGCCGGTAGTGCTTTGAAGCATCAGGCGCATCGGTAACTCGGGAAGAGCCTGGGAGCCGTGGTGCTTTTCCACTTTCCCCGTGCTGTGCCAGGCAGATGTCAGCGCTTAACAGCAGCGGGTATTAGGTGTTGAGGATACCTCCTAATGGACCTGGCGGGCCTGGCACGTGTACTCGGGCCCCTGCAGAAGAAGACCTTGCTTCCACAGGCGCCGCTGGCGTTTGGCTGACTCAGCTGACCACAGCAGGACAGACAGGCCGGGCTCAGGCAGAATCCCCAGGTGGCAGAAGGATGCCCATGTCCACCAGGGGCCACTTAATTCAAATTTGGCCAAATCACCCCCAGGCTCCCTTTATCCCCAAGCAGGTGCTGCTGCTGCTCTTTCACTTTCTTGATAACATCAGCGTCTTGAAACAAAGCTTCCTGCAGACAGGAAGGACAGTTTGCCCTTGAGTAGGTTCAATGGTCACCTGCCACTCGTTTCTGCTGGAGCATTTTAACCACTTTTCTATGCTGCTTTGGGCTGAAGGGAAGCAGGTTTATATCGAAACAAAGCTGAAACACAGTTCTTCACAGGGATGGCCTCTGTCCAAGCCCAGGAAAGGAATGGGTCAGGGCAGCTACTCACAGGTGACCCCTCCGTGAGTCCTCAGTGGGGCTCACCAGTGCACTGACGTTCCAGGAGCTGCCTCTGCTGGGACAATCTGTGTGTCCCCCTTGCTCTTAAGGAGGCTGCGGTGTGGCCAACAGTTGCGTACGCCTTGAAGAGATCCCCGAACCGGGCCATGTGTAACTCTGGCTTTGCTATGTTAGGGGCCCCAATGAAGCCAGGGTCCTCTCTCAGCCACCATCCTCTCGTGCCAAGTTAAAGAAGTAAGAAGGTTCCAGTGTCATGATGTTTGCCTTGGGATTATTCCTCCTGGGAGGGGTCTTGGGGAGACGTGACTGTGACGTGCCCCGGTGTGTCCCTGTTGGTGAGGGCCCGGCCTCCTGCGGGGATGGGAAGCGCCCAGGGCCGCACGCTTGGGCTCCTGCTCCCTGGGGAGGGTGGGCCCGGCCGGGCCGGGCTGCGGGGGCTTCGCTCCAGCGGCAGGTGGGTTTTGGGCCCCCAGGGAGGGCTGGGATGTGGGATTCCAATGAGCGTGGGCCACGGAGCCCGTAATTGTTGGCGTGTCAGGGTTCGCCGGTGGGGAAGCGTGGAGGAACTCCTCCGCGATAAGAGCTGCCGTAGAGACGCCGTCGCCCCGCAGCCCTTCCGGGGACGAGCGCGGCAAGGTTGGAGGAGAGGGCAGGGCAGGAGAATAAATTTCATTTTACTGTAGAAATGGAAATTTGTGTCACGGCTTTAAAAATCTGGTTTTATGTGTGTGTTTAATGCCATTCATTTTAAATGTAGTATCATAAATCCTTGCTTCAGAATCAAAGCTGTTTAATTACATTTCACCCATGAATGGTTATCTAATGCCAATAGAGAAAGAGTTAAAAAGGAGAACTACAGAGTAAATCAGAGGTTGAGATCTTTAGCACAAGCATAAAAAATCAATTTAAGATGAATTTTACTACTATAAAAATTCTTCAAATATCCTTTTAAGAGTGGGAAATGCTAGGAAACACGGCTCACATTTCAGTTCCCTCAGCGCCGTGAAGAGAAGGCCGGCCCGCATGGGCAGAGCCCTGGAGCGCCCGAGCGCACCCCGTTTCGCTCAGGGTTGTTGCTGAGCCAGGAATGGTCGCTCCGGCAGCCGAGCGCCACTGCGGGGGCAGAAGCCCCTGCCTCTCGCTTTAGGCTGCCCTGCCTCCTGCAGTAGCATGTGTGGTGTGTGGCGGCCGGCTAGACCCCGCTGGCCCTGGAGACTAAACTGACCTCGAGGCGCTGGCTCGTGCTGCCTACTGGACCAGCAGCCCGGCCCCTCCGTCCCGCGAGCTCTGCAGGAGGAGAGGTCGCTGGCTGCCTGCTGCAGAAGGTGCTAGGCCCGCGCAGGCGGTTTGGTGCAGGGGTCTTGTTTCCTCCGTTGAGGGTCCCGAGAGGCTGCCCCTGGGCCACAGGCTCTCTGCCTACTTGGAGGGAGCGTGAGCTAACCCAGTGCACACACCTCCGCTCCCTGTATCCCCCTCTGTCCCTGGGGATCAGGATGGCAAGGCGCGTCGCGTATGTCTTCATCTTTCTTTTTAGATATCGTAAGTACACTGCTCAGTTAGTAGGAAGAGAACAAGAGTAGAATGACTGAGAGTGTGTCTCTGAAATCGAGTAATATTTAAGCCAAGCAGAAGTTCTTTTTCCCTGATCAGACCTCGCTAATGGGAAAGAAATCGAGGTGGTGAGACAACAGCATCTCTGTCCCCAAGAAGATCTAGGCGGCCGCTCTGTCTCCCCGCCCGGGAGGCCCATCCTACACCTGTGACAGGGCTGGACAAGGTTTCCAGGCGGCCTGTTTATGTGGGACACTGGGCTGAGCGAGGGCCCCATCCACGTGGTTCCCTCGGACAGGGCTCTTGCTGCGCCTGTTCTGTCTGGTTCCGGTGCACGGGGTCAGCGGCGCCAGCCGGCTCTGGGGACTTGACTCTCAGGCCTGACTTCGGCCTCGGTTGTCCGTTTCTGCCTGGTCATCCGGGTGAGCTCGTTGTGCCTGCTTGGAAACCTCTGACCGACTTCGTGTTCCTCCGTGAAAAACAGCGTCAAGGGGACGCCTGCGCATCCCACCCAAGATTCAAGGACCTGGGTGTAGACACTCTTACACCCACGAAACGCCCTGACCAGAGACACAGACGCCAGCGCGAGTGATTTGTCAGACCCCGCGTGAGGCCGTCGTCACTGCCCTGCTGTGCCGTGAAGTGACGTTTCTGCAGCTTCAGTGCCGGAAAGAGCGAGAGAGCCTGAACGTGCCACTGCCCTGCTGTCTCTTTCCTCCCCCAGCAGCAGGAGGGGGACACGGCTCTACGTGAGAGTCACCACAGTGGGCGTGGATCTGTATCTCTCCTGGGCTGCTCACCGTCGCCCTGTGGGCCTGGCCGTAGCACTGCGTGTTTCGTGGATGTGACAGACACGGGCCGGGCCGCGTGTGCCTCTGGGCACGTCTCCTGTCTTGTAGGGAAGCGGGAAGAGCGCCTCGGGCGGCATTCATGCGGCAGCCCGAGGACTCGCCTAGACCCCAGGTTTGCCACTTTTAATTGTCTCTCATTGAAGCACAGACATCCTCTGTGGAAGGCCGAAGATGCTTCTGTTGAAGCTGTGCTTCCTACTCTGAGGTAGACGTGTCCAGGCGTTTCTGCCCACAGTACCGTTTAGTCCGAAATAACTTGTATCATCGTTAACACGCACAAGACTGTTTAATCGAATGCCTGAACTACCACGTCTTCCCTTTATTTCTGCTGTGACTCCGAGTAAACCTTTCCAACCACGAGGAAGGCGTACAGTTTCTTTCCTACCTCGTGCCTCGCCGTGTACTTCTGACTTTATTCAGATGTGCACAAGCTTGGTTTTTACCTCGCAGGAAAAGCGAGAACCAATCACTCTAGAAGTCGGAGCTCTTTGGGTGACGGCGGTGTTTTCAGAGTCGTGACCGCATCTCTGTGACTTAAAGTGAATCACTGCTCTCCTGCGGTTCCAGGGCCACGATCCTCCTGGAACTGGCCTTGGGGACAGCCTCTACCCATGCAGCACCCAGACCAGGGTTGAGGGTCTTCTGGAGCTCTGGCCCCTCCTTTCCGGTGTTCTTACCACCACAGCCCTGCTCAGGGGCAGCTCCGGGGCCTCCAGTCGGGACCCCCGACAGTCACACTCACGGGGTCCCCACCTGCAAGGTGAGGTTGCCCGTCCTGCCCCAGCACACACCCCAGGGCCTTTTACTTCCTCATGTCTTTGTTCGTGCTAAGGTGGCCCCAGAGGCTCCCCTGCCCCACCTGCCTCGTGCAGACACAGCCAGCCCAGTGCTCCCGGGCCCTTCAGCCGCACTTGTCATTCCTGTGCTGGCCGTGCCTCCAGGTGACTCTCGCAGAGCTGGTGGGTGCGTGTTGAGAGGAGGTCTTTGGCTAGAAGGGTACACACCAGCAACACAGGACACCTGACGCCACGCCGGCGCAGGAGCCCAGGAAAGAGGGGGCTCAGGAGGAGGAGCTGCCTACGTCTGTGTTACGGTGCCTTTTCCACCGTTCCAGAAAGCCTCAGACACTGCACCATTTTAAAAGGACACTAGAGAACCCCTGTCCACCAAGTCCAAGAAGACACATGGGAGCATGCTACCTGTCTAGGCCTCGGAAGGTAGGGAAGGAAGAGAGTCATCGAGAGAAATCTGACCCAATGCCAGCGCTTCGGGGGTGTGCGGCCCTGAGAACTGAAATAAAAAATGGATCTGCTGTAAAACTCGAGGCCCAGCACAGCAGAAGTGAACCTTCTCCGCAGGGGTGTTTCTCGGTCCGAGGAACACATCCCCAGATCAGCCCCTGCTGAAGACGAGGAGTCAGCTCCGAGGGGGTCACAGAAGAGAGAGCACCCCACACAGAAGCAACCGTGCAGCGACCCGGAACAGCTCTGCAGTGAACGGGTTTGAGCCTAAGGAGATCAGAGGGAGGACGGTGACCAGAAAAAGCAAATGGGAAGGTTTGGGAATGAACCAAAGAGATGTCCCCGGCATACTGCTGCCACTGAAAGACAAGCGCAGGGGACGGCGCGAGCACAGATGAGACCCTGGGAGCGTGGGGTCTGACGGCAAACGCCAAGGAATGCCCTGGAATAGAGCCAAAGCCGGCGAAGATGTGTGGCCGTGCCCTGGCGTTGTTGAATTCGGGGCGGGAGGGGGCGGATGTGTGGTGCAGCCTACGCACTTTGAGGCTCTCTGGAAAATGTGTGATGGTGAGCACTTGGTGATTTAGCGCACGTGTGCCCTCTGCAAGCCTTACAAAGGGAAGGTGCTCGGGTTGCTTCCCACCGTGGCTGCGCTTTCAGAGCCTGGTCCTGGGACGTTCCAGTGCTCCGTGCAGCCTGAGGGTGGAGAAGTGGGTGCAGCGCCTCCGTGCCCGCCTTTCTGCTCTCGAGCAGCTAGCTGAGCTCGGCAGCTGCCGGCGTTCGCCCATTGAGATGCAGTAGGCATTTGCTTTTCTGATGTGTGGCGACAGGGCCCAGAGGTTTATTAAGCCCCTTTTATCACTTTTGCAGTGCCGCGGAGGCCCCAGCCCCTCCCGAGGCTCTCGGCGGTCCGGAGGGAATGACGGAGCCCCTTGCGCAGTGCGCAGCCTGGCTGGACGCCTATTTCCACGAGCCCGGGGCCATCAGCGAGCTCCCCTTGCCAGCTCTTCACCATCCCGTTTTCCAGCAAGGTCAGTAACTGAGCCGTCCCGTGGTGTTTCCTTTAGGGAGCTTGACTTATTAACTATCACCGACACCACAGTTCGTTCTGTTGACTACACCAACTTGGTATTTTTACATCATCTAAACAGAGACAGCATGTGGCCAAGCTGGAAGGACGAGAGTTCTCAGCCTCCACCCACTCCAAACGCTTGTGTTAGTTTTGGCACATGGTCGCATAATTCTTGGCAAAGGCAATAAAAATGATGCATGCAGATCGACTCTTGACTTTCGCTGGCTGAAAGGTTTAAATAGGAACACGTCTGAATGGCAGTAAATTTTTCTATAAGCTTATTGTTAACTTAAACTATCTGTTTGCCAACAGCACAGAGGAGGGAACGTGTATGTGGACAATTAGCTGCTTCCATGGGCTCAGCTGGTGACAGTTACATTATAGTAGGTGGCAGCTCGTGTCTTCTTGGATAAATTTTAAATTTAATTTCTCAAATGTACCCTAGTTAGGTATTCTTAAGAGAAGAATTGAGAACTTGCTACCTAAACATAGCATGCTAAGGGCATTTAAAGTCTGTGATAAACTAAAAACATTTTTCCAGACATTTCTTTTAAAGCTTTTGTTCGGATCTACCTGATACAGAAATTAATTATAGCAACTAAAATCATTCTAGGCACGTACCAAAAGTTTATTTTGCGTGGCGATTTTTCCCACAAGTAACGTTTTAATATAAACGAACGCGTATTCGTATACAGATAGACACGTGTAGATGTGTGTACACTCTTAAAGGGAAAAATTACGCCAAGATTTTAGATGTGGTGAGTTTAAAGCAATCTTGAATTTCAAAATGGTATGCACTAGGTAAGTTTAATGGTATTCTAATTGCTGCTGTGCTTTGCAGCAAAAACAAACTTGAAAATGGAGTGAAGTTTTCCAGTGAAGCCGGTGGAGAAACCCCTGATGGTTGGGCTAATACCGGGGTCCTCTAACGAGATGAGACAAGTGAGCAGATGAAGCCCGTTGTGCATAATAAACTGACACTGCACGGCTGTAATGACCTGGGCACCTTGTCACCCCTGAATCGCACAGCACTGTCTGCAGGGGGTTTCCCTTGGGTGGGGAGCTGGTCTCTGGGACGGGCAGGCGGACCTTTGCCGGGCACCGCACACGTCCTGGAAACCCTCCATTGCCCTCACCCGCTAGTGTGCTGCCCGCCCAGCACGTCATCCTGCCTGCGCCGGGCCCACCCTTTCTCCAGCCCCCGAATCGATGGGCTGAGTAGATGGTACCAGTGACCCTACTTTTGTGCACTTCCGACGAGCCAGGCACAGGACGGGGATGAGGAAGTCAGAGATGAGTTTCCTTTTTAAAGGAGCGGCTTGGGAATCTTGGAGTGGCAAACTGGTCCGTCTACTGTCGTCATTTTCGGGTTCCTGCCCTGCCAGTGGGAGCAGGACAGAACTGCCCAGCCGGCTTTCCTTCTCCTAAGTCTGTCAGATACATGAGCTGACATGTGAGGTCTCGGAATAGAAAAGGTACAAAACCAGGGCAGGAAGTATCTGCGTCATCTTACGGCGGGTAGTGGGGAGAATGACCTTACAAAATCCTGAAGTTTACCTGAGGTTCGTTGTGTAACGTAATGAAAACTGCAGTGGCAGAAGTTGTGAGAAAACCACTAGTTTTCTGCAAGCCAGACGGTGATCCCAGCCATAGAGCCGGGCTCTGCTGACCTGGCGCCACCCGGGTCTGGCAAGTAACGTGGAGGAAAGGCCCAGAGGAGGCCCCTTCGGTGGCTGCTGATAGTAACCCAGGACGGGAGTCACCGAACTGCCTCTGCAGCCTCCCTCTGCCCACCACAGCGTTTGCTGCTCCCAGACGTGGGGACCGGCCCCGGGGACCAGCAGGCCTGGGGCTCCTCCGTCACGTCCCCAGCACTTAAAGGGAGCTGGGATTGGCCAAATTAACCCCTCCTCCCTGGCACGGGGGCCCAGGCCAGCAGGTCATGGTGGGTCTTGGTGACCAGGAAGACTTGGAAGTAGCCCTCAGGTCACGCATGAAGACCGTCCAGCTACCCCGCAGCCCAGCCCTCTGGAAAGCCCTACATTGCAGGTGGCGCTTGTCACTGGGCCGGGGTCCTGGGTGGAAGGGCCCAGCATCCTGCAGCCTTCTTTCCTGGCACCCTGGGAACTCCCAGGCGGGATGTGGACCCAGGGTGCTGGGGTGCCCTGGGCCAGGCCTGCCTGTGACAGTTCCTGGTTGCTGCCGGGTCTCCCACGCCTCAGCATGTGCACGCCAGGTTTTCTAAATTTAGTGCAATCATTCTCCGCAGGACCAGGTGTACAGATTTTATGGTTTAAAGAAGGGGAGGTGGTAGACGGTTACGCACTTGCTAACAGGGAGCGAATTGCTACTACCCAGATGTGGCAACGCCCTTTCCGCCCAGCATTCGTTGGGTTTGTTCTCCGTCCAGTTTGTGTCTTACAACACCAGGGAAATCACGGTGAGGGGCGAGTCCCAGGCAGGGAAAAGTCTGACATCGCAGCCCTCTGGCACCGTGGGGCACTATAATCAGTCTGCAATCTGGAAGGAACGGGTCGATTTTAACGTGGAATAAATGTTTCCTTGACCAATTACACTTTCTGTGCATTTTAATTTTTGAATATGTTTAACATACTTCTACATATCATTTTTCTCTGTACTCTTGGTCTGAGATTTAGCCCACTGCTATCCATTTCATGCTGTTTTTTAAAACGTGATCGTGGTTGAGCTCATCCTGGAGTCCAGCACAGGCACCTTGCTTCCTGCAGCCCCGGCTCGTGACACCTCCGGCCTGGGCGCCAGGCTCCTCCCCACCCCCGCCCAGCGTGGGCTATCGTGCCGCTGAAAGACCTCTCTTCTGCACACAGGCCCTTCCTCGGCTTCCCAGGAGTCCTACGAGATGAACGTGCTGTTCTTGATTTGTTTGTTTTTTTAAGGCTAACCACAAAAATATGCATTAAGTTGAACCATATGAAATTGCTGTTTTTGTAGGTTAAAACTTACCAAATACTAGAAATTCATACGGTTCAACTTCTTGGGGAGTTTCCAAAGACCGATTAGTATCTGGGTATTTCTGGGGAGGGACAGGGGAGCCGTCTCTGCTGCCCAGGACTCGAGGTGTCCGTGGCCGCCATGGCCTTGGGCCGGCCCGGACAGGACTTCCCAGTGGGAAGGGGGACTGAGGTCTGCAAGGAAGACCCATCCTTCTCTTGAGGGGATTAAAATACAACCTCAGCTGGTGAATAAAATGTATTCTGATTTCTCCTTGGAGTGTTGTTTTAGTAGTGGTCAGGTCATTTCCTAAAATAAAATTAGAGTTTTCTTCTTTGTTGTTATTTTTGGTTTGCTTATTCTAGTTTATTAAAAATGTCGAGAGGATCATTCTTCCAGCAGCCTCGGCGCACAGCCAGCCGTCTCAAGGAGGTCGGCTTCTCCCCGTAAGCTTCTCACGAAGGTCAGCGTTTTATCTGTTTTAATCCATTTTTTCCAAGAAATACTTATCTAGTGAAGCTGTTATCTTTGCACTACATCTTTACTTAATGTTTCTTTCATAATGAAATATCGTTTAAACTTTTCTCTAAACACACCCGGCTTTCTTTACATTTATTTATAAAAAGTATTTAGCTGCTTTGTATAACACACATTCTTAGAGGTCAGTGGCAAAATCAGTTAGAATAAGAAAAGCAGTAGTTTGCCAAAAAGAGATTTAAACAATAAGCTCGGGAAAAGCAGCCCCCTAGAAAACTGAGACGGACTTTCAGACACCGGCTGTGCGCGGGTGCGTCCTCCCGCCCCTGCCCCCGTCTGCCCGGGGAGACCCTCCCAGCAGGTGCGGTGGGACAGGTGTGGGTGGCGGGGCTGGGCCCTTCTGCTGCCCTGCCGGGCGGGGCTCCGCTGGCACTGCCCACGCGAGGCTGTGTCCTGGTGGACCCAGCTGGGCCCTGAGCCTTCTCACAGATGATGGCTCTCAGCAGATGAGTTCTGAGTTTTCTTTTTAAAGTGACTGCAATGTTCCCTTTTAAATGAAATATTTAACACTTTAATAATTCCTTCGTCACAGCTATTAGCTTGTAGCTATGAAATCCAGTTGCATGACAGCAGTAAAATCTGCATTTTTAAACCTGCTGGCTAGAAGTAAGTTTTGTAACTTACAGAGCCTCAGGAAGGATTCATATTCCTGTCTCTGTGTGTCTCTGTCGAACCCCTCATTTCAAAAGGGCCTCCGACAAAAGCCCTCCCAGAGTTACGGGACAGGCCCTTTTGGGGTAAGATAGTTCATTTTCCCATGTGTCGTGGAAGAGGGTCCCACCGTGCTCGTGCCTCCCAGTGGGGGCCGTGTATGCCCCAGAAGGCACAAGTCCTAGAAGACAGGGGCTGGGGGGAGAGCACCGTCATTACCCTGCGTCTTCACCGGAGTCAGCCCTTTGCAGTTAAAAACCCACCTTGGAAAGCCAAGCAAGGGCCAGTCCTCCCGGCCCCGCCCCACACCCTGCTGCCTTCGCGGGCCCAATGAGGCTCTTCCTTCCTGGCGTCACTCGTGTCCTGGCAGGCACCCTGTACCCTGCCCAGCCGGCATGTGGTCTCCCCGGGAAAGACACCCTGAACCCCGTCTTCTGAAGGTCCTAGGGCCTGTTTTGGTGACCTTCAAGTGTGCCTGGTAAGTCGAGACTCCAGCCTGAGTGTCTACAGAGGTGGTGCAGCTGGGGATGGGGGACGTTTTCTCTTTAGCCTCCCCCAGGTCCACAGCAAGATGCGAGCTTTGTGCTTTCAGGTACTTTGTACTGTTGTTTGCCCTGAACTTTTTTTTTTAAAAAATTACCGACTTACAGAGAAGATAAAAGCTAACGTAGCAGATGCATTCGCGGGTTCTGGTTGTAGCCTTCACTGTTTTCCCTTATTTTAAATGAGGGCTCATAAAAATTGTTGACCTTGCTGAGATATTACCTAGTGGAGCGGGAAGGTTTGTAAACCTCCTTCCAA